AAAAAAAAAATTAATAATACAACCACAACACAATTATAAAAGAACAAAACTGAAAGTATACAACAAAATTACATTTTAATGCTAAGTGACGTGGCGCAAGTAGGTAAGACGTGCCTATAATAAAGGGCCAAGGGAGTCCGTGTTGTGTGAGCAGTCGAGGGGAAAGATCGTGTCGTGTCGTTGGTCTGGTGTTGAATGATGCTGATATTAAAATGTGTTTATTCTGAGTAAAGGCTCGCTTTTATAACAAGACGAAAGCCACACGTCCCCGATCATACATGCTGACCCGTGCGGGTAAAAAAAAGGCCCAGACAAAGCCGAGATATTACAAACAAGAAAGTCCGGCTTCGTCACAAAGAACCGGGGTTGCTTCTAGGAACATCTGGGGGCCATGCGAGCGTCCGATCAGCCCGTAGCATCATCACCCCCACTAATCATATCAAAAGCGGATTTTTGATATTTCAAATATTGCCAATTTACATTCAAGGGACCATCTCTCGTCCCTTACAGCTAAATTCAAATGCAGCTCCTGGCAAAGCATATAATTTAGCTGACTGGTTGCGGCTCAGAGGATTAGATTTGCTTCCGATCGACAAGCAGAAGTCGCTTTCAACACTTTTATCTCTGTGCAGTTACACTTAAGCTGATGGTGTAGCGTTGCACGTAAATTAGCCGAGTGCCTCATTCTCCTACAGAATATGCACTAAAGAAGAAATTCTCAGAATAGGTGTGACACACTGTTTTGTTACGCTGTGGCTAATTTGAAAACTGAGTTAGACGTTCCAGCTTATTAAGTATTCATTACAGTTAAGCTGCATTTTCATCATGATTAAGCGTATTTTCAAATGCACTATCGGTTATTCATTTTTGGCTCACTCTTATTCATTTTCATACTATTTTTTCCCCTCTTATTCTGTTCCTCTTTTTTTAGCCTCTCACAGATATTCTGGGCCATCTGACACTTCAAAATGCCTAATGGCTTGCACTTTTCCATTTTCTTTTTTCGAAAAAATTCCCATTTGGGTTCGTGCTTCACCAAGACAACAAAGATCGCCCAAACCATTACTGTGAAGCACTGCAGGTAGAATAGTAATTAATAAAATTTGTCTGGGTGAGTTTCTAGGTACTGCGTCCAAAGTTGTTAACTTCCGCTCAGCAATAAGGTTCAGGAAGAGCATAAAAAATTCATCAAGGAATTGTCTCTTATAAACGTGGTCCTGTTTCCATTCCTGTAATCCAAGCGTGGCTTTTACCACAAGTTTTCAAGGATTTTACCGCTTTTTTGATTGCCACGAAGGTTTTTTGATTTTTAGTTGAACTTCAGTATTTAGGCGCTGTTCTATGTTAGAAATTCAAAACGAACCCTCCACATTCAGTACAGCAAGAGACTAGATCTTGTGCAGAGATTTGTTTCTGATTCGTATAATTTGTTGCTATGCAAAGTCGATCGGACATCACTGACGCTGCAGACATAGCCTGAAAATTAAGCCTAGTCAAATCATGCATAAACTAATTATTGGATACCACCTAATCACTAACTAGTGTAGTCAGAAGCTAGATCTCTAACAACAACATTTCACTAAATTGTATGAGTAAAACGGTTCTCGAAAAGGATAAAGCTTTGCCAAGTATCTTTGCAGAAAGAAACGTTATGCCGGCAGCCTTTTTAAGGAAAAACGTTTTATCAGAACAGCCAATAAGCTAACCACCAGGCAATGCAGCAATGGACAAGTCAACTAGAAAAGCTGTCAGCCAATCGTGATGAGATTTGTTCAAAGGGAAATGTGCGTGCATTGCTGCTGCAGCGCAACCATTACCTGACGATGTCTAACAGTCTGAGATTGTTCACTCGCAGTAGGGACGTAAGATGAGTTTAGATCGTCGTCAAACAGGTCAGTTTTACCCCACTAAGTTTAAGAGTGAATAATATCTTAAGTTTCATTAAGCCATTCACCAAAAATTTGTAAACTTTATAAAAAATATGTTTATGCTACGCAGAAAAAACTGCAAAGACGGGACGGCCTTATTTGTGGACTATAAATAGAATATGGGCCCAAAACCATCAAGAGTTGTTCAGCTACTAAATAAAGCCTAGCTAGGCGTCTACAACGTCAGCAACCTGCGCCGACAGTCACCTGCTGGTAAGTCTGTCAATGACTACCTTTTCCAACCGCTGCTTCGAAAAAAGCCAGTGATGATTTTGACCACCAGTGCAAAGTTTCAAATGAAGCAGTAAATTCGTTATGCCCGTTTACAAGTGCAAAAACTTTTGTTGAACAATGAACGATCGGGAATTGCCCTAAAACAAAACGTACCCAGCAGGAACCGCACCCACCCTGATTTGATACCTGATGCACAGACCAGCACAGCGGCCATCGTAATCGAGCATCGAATTGTTGAGGTAAACGCACTTTTCTACTCCTCAGTATCTGAAATGCCAAAATAAATTTCAAGAGCACTGTCGCTAGCTTCAAAAAATTATAATGATTACTTA